ACACAATTAAACTAATTAAGAATCTAAAAGTGATGGTATTCATTATGAGAGAATATGTTTCCTCATAATCAATTCTAGGTATTTGAAAGAAATCTTGAGCTATGAGTTGAGATTTATATCTTGTAATTTTATTATTTTCATTTCTCTTTCATACAAAAATCAATTTGTATCCTATAGAGATTACATTTTCAGGTGTTCAAACTATATGTTCAAATACTTTCTGTTTCTCAAAAGAATTCAATTTTGCTCGTATGATTTTTTTCCATTCTGGCCAATCATTTCTATGTTAGCAGTCAAGATCCTCATTTTGCATAATATCAACAGTCACATTAAAGACGAAAATATTGTCTATAACAATATTATTTCGTTTTCATAATTTATGAGATAACATATAATTTATCGAAATTCCATTATTTTCGGATAATTGTGATTCTTCAGGAAGCATATTTTCAATATTTGATTGATTAATTTTTTCTAATGTTATTTCTTCTAAAGTTTTTAATTTGTTTTTCTCTTGTACTTTTCTTTTTCGTGGCATAAAATCTTTTGAACCAACTGGTCGATCACGCTTCTGATTTATTTGAGATTCATTTGCTACATGAGATTTTTCCTGTAGTGACATCAATTTTTGCTGAAATATTTTTTGCTGGCATATATGACTCTTGTCATTTTTTCTTGTGTCAACAAATGCATTTGGTTATTGATTTACAACTATTTGCAAATGAATGATTTTTCCATCCTCTTACTCATATTTGATTGTTTCGGGAATCAATGTAAGAAATAGTTGTTTCATTCCAAGAAATTTTACCTTTTTTTTTTCAGGATATAATTTTTCCCTTTCCAAAGTTGGGAAAGTCATTTTATCAAAATGACAATTTACAAAACGTGCATTAAAAAAATCACACGTTAAAAGTTCAAGATACCTAATAATGGATGATGAATCAAAACCCACATAAATCCAAAATTTTTTTGGGAACCCATTTTAGTACGTTGTGGGAGTGAAATAAGGACTTGAACAGCACAACCAAAAATCCGTAGGTGAGAAATATTGAGTTCGTGACCAAATGCCTATTGCAAAAGTGAATATTGATAATAGACAGTTGGTCTAATACGAACCAATGACGCATCATGTAATATGGCATGACCCCAAATAGAAGTTGGGAGTTTTGTTTTCATAAGTAATGATCTAACAATAAGTTGTAAACGTTTAATAAATCATTTCGGTAAATCATTTTGTGTATGGACATGTACAATAGAATGTTCAATAACAATCCCAATTGATATGCAATAATTATCGAATACTTGTAATCTAAATTCACTAGCATTTTCAAGACGAATAGTCTTGATTGAGTAATCGAAAAATTGCGTTCATAATTTTATGATTTGACTAAGTAGTCTAGCAAAAAACTACATTCCCAGTGGAAATGAAGCAAACATGTGACCATTTAGTAGAAGAATCAATTAATACCATAAAATAACGAAATGATATACATGGTGGGTGTATTGACACATATATATCTCCATGAATTCTATTCAAGAAAGTTGGAGATTCAATATTGACCTTTGTAGTCGAAAGTCTAATAACTAACTTGTCTTGCGAACAGCTACACTTGGATAATCATTAGGTAGAAGAATCTATTAGTTCTTCAAAGGATGTCCATTTGAACTATTTATTATTCGACGCATCATTATAACTCCTGAATGTCCAGTCGATTGTGACAAAGTATAAAGCTTTTTGGGTCAACGAACTTCTAGTTGGTGATAATATTTGATTCAACCATTTTTATAAATATATAATATATGCTAGATGGGAGTACAAAAGAAGTTATGTAAAGATATTCAACATTTATTTTTTTGCATCGTCTCAATGTGATATCCATTGCATCAGATATTTTAAAACTAAACAAACTTCTTCTAAATTTGCTAGAATAAAGTGTATCGTCAATATATAATTTTATATTATTTGGTAAAATAATACAAGCTCTTCTGAAACTTTTAACGATATTCGATGCACCTAATATTGTATTAACATTTTTTTTTTGCTAGTAATAAGTCAAAAAAATATTTTTTGTCATGAAGAATAGTATGTGTAGTTGCACTATTAATCAAACAAGTGTCTGACAATCCATCATGAATTTTCACTAAATTTTGAAGAATTAAGCTTTCAAACTGATAATGTGTTATAAAATAAAAGTAATAGAATAAGAAAAGAAAAAAAATATAAGAGTTAATACTC